GGTGGGCTTCCCAGTGGGTGGAGAGACCTGCGGACACCAGCCCAGAGACAGCCGCCGCCAGCTAGTGGTTAGCCTGTAGCGGACACGGCACCAGACTCCCAAATCCCTCGGGGCACCTCCGTGTGCACAGACCCGAGCCGCGAGGCAGGCGCCATATTGCCTCCTTCTCCCCTCTGCCGACCCTACCTACGGCTGCCCAGAGAGACAATACAGCCACCAGCCGGAGGCACCTCCAGGGAACGGGACTTTCCCTTTTGGGACCCTACAGCTGACTAAGGGGAACTCAGACTGTGAGCGCCCTACCCATCAGCCCTCCCAGGTGCTGCTGGTACGGTGTTCCCAGGAGAACGGTGCCGACTCAGAGGCTGAGAGACACAGACACAGCTTGGGCTCCCTGTGGGTGAATTGGGACCGGAACTCCTCTCCCTGGTGGGGATACAGTTTGAACTCTGGGACCAGAGGTCGGACCTGCAGACAGATCCTGTGCATCGAGGTCTAGCATTCCCGGGCACAGAAGGGATATTTGTGAACAGCCCGCTGAGGTGTGTGTGCCTCCAGGGGCAGATCAGCATCCTAGAGGGCAACCCTCCACCAAAGGAGGCTGTGCGCCCAGCCCAGGCAGCTGTTTCTGCTCAGGAACCTCCCCACCGGATTCTCTCCTAAAAAATAAAAAAAATAAACCAGCTATACAAATATGCTTATCTCAGGCTCTGTTTTCTAGAGAAAACTCAAACTAAGACAGGTTATCAGGAATTAGTAATTTAGGTAGGAATGGAGGGAATTTAGAGTGTTCCAGGTAGGTGTGAAAATATCCAAATTTGTGGAATTGCAAAGGCATAGTATATTTAGTAAGCTAAATGCAGTTACATATCTTATTATCCCCACAAACTTATTATTTGTCCTGCAGCCTCTAATTCTGTGAATGCCACCACTATCTCATCCAGTTGCTATTGCTAGAAACCTGTGAGAATCATGTTTGACTCTGCCCTCTCTTTGTACTTCCACGTCCAATTAATTAGCCACAAAGTTCTCCTAAATATTCTCCAATTTGTCCCCATTTCTCCATCACCACTGCCATTGCCTTTGCTCCTTCACAATTTCTTACCAGGAATACTGCAGTAACCACTCAATGGGCTTCTCTGATTCTCCTCACACATACAGTTATATTTATAAATATTAACCTATCAGTAATCTTTCAAAGTATCCCTACAGGATAACATATATATTTTATTCTTACCTCTATCTTAGACTGTATAGCATAGTATAGTAGTTAAGAATATAGGCTTTGAAATAAGAGAACCAGGTTCAACACCAATTCTTCCATTAAACTCTCTTAAAGTCCGGGCACGGTGGCTCACGCCTGTAATCCTAGCTCTCTGGGAGGCCGAGTCCAGTGGATTGCTTGAGGTCAGGAGTTTGAAACCACCCTGAGCAAGAGCGAGACCCCGTCTCTACTATAAATAGAAAGAAATTAATTGGCTAACTAATATATATAGAAAAAATTAGCCGGGCATGGTGGCGCATGCCTGTAGTCCCAGCTACTCGGGAGGCTGAGGCAGCAGGATTGCTTGAGCCCAGGAGTTTGAGGTTGCTGTGAGCTAGGCTGACGTCATGGCACTCACTCTAGCTTGGGCAACAAAAGCGAGACTCTGTCTCAAAAAAAAAAAAAAGACTCAGTCCCCTGATCTCTCGGTAAAGTATGAAGGCTGGAGCAGTCTTGGCCCTAAGAACTCTTGAAACTAACAAACTGGCTGGGCACAGTGGCTTACGCCTGTAACACTAGGACTTTGGGAGGCCGAGGATTGCTTGGCAGGACTTTGGCAGGAGGATTGCTTGAGCCTAGAAGTTTGAGACCAGCCTGAGCTAAAGTGAGAACCCATCTCTACAAAAAATAGAAAAATTAGCTGCATATGGTGGCATGCACCTATATAGTTCCAGCTATTTGGGAGGCTGAAGCAGGAGGATTGCTTGAACCCAGGAGTTTGAGGTTGCAGTAAGCTATGATCACAGCACTGAACTTTAGCCTGGGACACAAAGCAAGATCCTATCTTAAAAAAACAAAACAAAAGAACCCACCAATACTCCATTTCAAAATAAAGCCTACTACTAAGGAGAAATTGCCAGGAGTAGAATCCAAATTGAGCGAGACTAGGACAATCAATGCACAGGAAAGAGAAAAGCCAGATAAAATGTAGATAAGGGAGCAGAGAAAGAAGATCTCAAAAGAGGGGGGGCTCTAGGGTTGTGAAGCTAGAAAAGCTATCCTGACTCACCCTTCCCTTCTAAAAATTTAGGAAGACCAATTTCAGATAAAAATTAGAAACAGAAAAGGACTGCAGTCAAATCCCATACAAAGTTATTATCAAAAAACATAATAATAGGCCAGGCGCGGTGGCTCACGCCTGTAATCCTAGCTCTCTGGGAGGCCGAGGCAGGCGGATCCTTTGAGCTCAGGAGTTCGAAACCAACCTGAGCAAGAGCGAGACCCCGTCTCTACTATAAATAGAAAAAAATTAATTGGCCAACTAATATATATAGAAAAAATTAGCCGGGCATAGTGGTGCATGCCTGTAGTCCTAGCTACTCGGGAGGCTGAGGCAGGAGGATTGCATGAGCCCAGGAATTTGAGGTTGCTGTGAGCTAGGCTGACGCCACAGCACTCACTCTAGTCTGGGCAACAAAGTGAGACTCTGTCTCAAAAAAACAAACAAACAAAGAAAACGTAATAATAAAGATTAGAAGATTAGAATAACATACCTACAGACATTGAAAGCACACATGAGAAAGACATGCCCATTTACTGGAGTGATGCCAGGTGGAAAAAAAAAAGACATGCCCACAAAACAGATGAAATCCATAGCCTAGTATCTCAAAATAACCTAAAGTAAGAAAATGACATAAATGTAAAAGCATAACATAAATCTTAATTAGAAAAGTTAGAAGTGAGATGAATTAGAAATTTTAAAAAATCATTTCAAGGGGGGTGGGGGGCATGAGCAATATATGTAACCTTAACACTTGTACCCCCATACATAATATGCTCAAAAAAAAAAAAAGCAAAAAAACCATCATTTCAGAAATAAAAGTTAAACTAGGAAGAACACAAGAGTGAATAAAGGACAACTCACAATACCTTAAGGGATATAGAATATAAAAGGGAAGAAAAGCCTAAAATTAAAAAGGATTAAACAGATAAAAGTTTGAGGCAGAGTAACAGAGAGACATGCAACAAAAACATTCAGTATATGTGTAAGAGTTCCAAAGACTAAAACAATGGATTAAACACACAACTAAAACTATAATTCTAGAAAATTTTTGAAATACTAAAAAAGGCTGAAACTTCACTTGAAAAAAACATGCTATATATCTAAAAAATTTGATTCAGAACAATAAATGGGATATAGTAAAACATAAGTTTTGTTTTTTTTTTTTTTTTTGAGACAGTCTCACTTTGTTGCCCAGGCTAGAGTGAGTGCCGTGGCGTCAGCCTAGCTCATAGCAACCTCAGACTCCTGGGCTCAAGCAATCCTCCTGCCTCAGCCTACCGAGTAGCTGGAACTACAGGCATGCGCCACCATGCCCGGCTAATTTTTTCTATATATATTTAGTTGGCCAAATTATTTCTTTTATTTATAGTAGAGATGGGGTCTCGCTCTTGCTCAGGCTGGTTTCGAACTCCTGACCTCAAGCAATCCACTGGACTCGGCCTCCCAGAGTGCTAGGATTACAGGCGTAAACCACAGCACCCGGCCAACCATAAGGTTTTAAAGAAAAACAAAAATTCCTTTGGAAATCCAGACAAAAGGACCAAGTCACTCATAAGAGAAAGAAAAATATTTCTATCTGGGCTATTTTGACAGTAACATTTTATGTCAAAAGATAATGAAAGAAAACATTTAATACATCCAAGGAAAAAAAGTAAGTCAAGGATTCTATATCCAAATAAATTGGGTTTGAAATATAAAAGCTGCAGATAACCTATTGAACATTGGTATCATGAGTCCATCTTAAGGAATCTACTAGAAATAAACTTCCAAAAGGCAAATGACTGGCAAGAAAAGGAATAGGGACTGGTGGCAATGATCATTAACAGCTGCTAACGACACAAAATGAAAGACAATTAGATAATTATGTGCTTCCAGATGGAAGAACATACCACCACCTATGAAGCAGTCTTGCCAAAAAAAATTTCAAACTTGAATTTAATTAAGCCTGTAGGTTTAATTACCAATTTACAGAAAATATATAGAGAGGAACACTTATTAAATGATACCACAAGGTTTCAATCAACAAAATTCAAACTGGGAAACAGTTTCTTCAACAATTAAATTATAAGGGAAAAAAAGATGGAAGGAAAACCTATCTATTAAGAGACAATTCAACCAATTGTATAGTCCTTATTCACTTCATGAGTTAAACACATTTAAAAATGTTCAAATTATATTTATTAGGCAACTATAAACTCAAACACGGACTGGATATTTGATAATACCAAAGAATCATTATTGATTTGGTTTTTAAGAGTTTTTTTAGGAGTGATAATGGTATTGCTTTTTTAAGTGCCCTCATCTAATAATATATTCTAGAATATTTACAGAAGAAAAGAATATGATGTCTGGGATTTGCTTCAAAATAACACGAGAGGAAGCAAGTTGAGTAGGGATACAGATAAAATAAGATTTGTCATAGATTGTTAACTGATGAAGCTGGGTGATAAGATACATGGACAATGGTCTGTTTACTTTTATACATGTTTAAAAATTTCCTTAATGAAAAGTTAAAACAACTATGTCTAGTCCACAACTGGTGTCTTACAAATAGCAATATCATTATTAATCTTATTAGCTGACTCTAAATAAATATTTGCTAAATGAATCCTTCAGACATAGATAAGACTGAATGATTTGTCAATAAATATGAAGCTATTATGGAGAAAATATGAAATCTAAGAACGTTCATATTATCAACATCAGTTTTAAGAGTGTATGTAGCTCACTCACCCAGGGCCTGGGAGAATGAATGAACCAATAATCTCTCTTGATAAGTCAGGGAAAGAGTTTGGGCAGCTGAAATAAAAAGTGAGAACCAGTAAATCAGTAAAATTGTGGGGTTAAAGTGAAATGAAGTAGAAGATGGTTACAGAGAAAATAAACCAAATGAAATATGTGTTCTTTAACTGAAAAAACAAACAAACAAACAAAAAAACAAAAACCACATTACTTAGCAAACATGGTATTGGCTTCAAAATCCTATAAGCACATATAATGGAGGTTTCCACATACAAGTAGGACTACAATACGTTTAGCAAATGTAAGGTAAATAAAAAAGATTATAAATTAAAATACATTTTAAACAAAAAAGCCAAATAAAGTGAATGTACTAATCTGTCCTTTCTCTGAGAAAAGTGGAAGCCAAAAAGGATGACCTCACCATAATATTTGGGAAACTCAATCTGGAGGAAGTAGGTAAAGATAAAGGAACCAAAAGCTCATAAACCCAAACTTTTAAAGGCAATGTTCTTTTATTATAATAACCTTTCTTGATAAGTCAGGGAAAGAGTTTGGGCAGCTGAAACAGACCAAAAGAGCCTCCAAATGTTTAGGAAGCTCTTTTGTGAGTGCAGGGTAAGACCAAAAAATAGGCCCAAAGGGCTACTGCTCTTAAACCATACATGGCACAGCATGTGGGTACAACTTTCTCCTTTAGTGAGATACTGGACATCTCCTTAGCAAACACTGACAAACTTTCTTCAACTGTTTATGTGCAATTCTACTGCCCTTCCTACAAGTTTATGGTGATCCCAACATTTCTGAATTTTGGCTTAGCTCAGGTTTTACCTTGTTCTTAACAGCTAATGGGAGTCTACTTATGGTCCTCCACAGTTAGCTTTGTTGCCTTCTACTCTAGCTTAGAAGGCAAGTTGAAGTTAAACTAGGATTTCAGGGGCCATTGTAATAGAGAAAATCCAGTAAAGATAGCAAAGACTTGCTGGCCAAAGTCACAGCTTGGAAGAAGGCTCTAGAGGTAACATTGTATATAAGGTGCTATATAAATGATGTGGGAAAAAAGGGGTAAGGGAAGAAAAGAGACCATACAGAAGAACTTAGTGAAGATTCTAATCTTCAGTGCAAGGATAAGCCCTAAAACAAGGAGTAAATGATCTAAGTCATAACAAGAGGCAGTATCTTTGGCAGTTATCTGACTTTCCTCCTCATGCCCTCTCTCCTATTTGCCACTAAGTGTTAGAAGAACACATTTGCATGAGACTCCCAAGATCTCTAATTTCAGGCGAGGCCAAAATAACATTTCTAAAATTTAGAGACTAGGGATCAAAGAGAGTTTACACCTCCATCCTAAACATTTAGAAAGTAGCTGAAACAGCCTCTGGGAAGACCCTAAAAATGCTAAGCTCTTTGCAAATCAAAACTGCAATAAGATACTACCTCACACCCATTAGAATGGCTATTATCAGCCAGGTATGGTGGTTCATGCCTGTAATCCTAGAACTCTGGAGGCCAAGGCTGGAGGATTGCTTGAGGTCAGGAGTTCAAGACCCAGCCTCAGAAGAAAAGACCCATCTCTACTAAAAATAGAAAGAAATTAGCCAGGCAACTAAAAATAGAAAAAAAAAGCTGAGCATGGTGGCGCACACCTGTAGTCCCAGCCACTCAGGAGGCTGAGGCAGGAGGATTGCTTAAGCCTAGGAGTTTGAGGTTGCCATGAGCTAGGCTGATGCCATGGCACTATAGCCTGGGCAACAGAGCAAGACTCTGTTTCAAAAAAAAAAAAAAAAAAGGATGGCTATCATCAAAAAGACAGAAAATAAATATCAGGGAGGATGCAAAGAAATTGGAACCCTTGTACACTGGGGTAGAAATGTAAAATGGTATAGCCATTGTGGAAAATAGTATGGTGGGCCCTCAAAAACTTAAACATTGAATTACCATATAATCCAGAGATTCCATTTCTGAGTATATGCCCAAAAGAACTGAAAGCAGGATCTCAAAGAGATACTTGTATATCCATATTCGTAGCAGCATTATTCACAATACCTAAAACATGGAAGGAACCCAAGTGCCTGCAGACAGATAAAAGGAAAAGCAAAATGGTGGTATAGCCATAAAAGAGAACATAACTCAGCCTTAAAAAGGAAGGAAATTCTGCAAAATGCTACAACATAGATGACCCTTGAGGTGTTATGCTAAGTAAAATAAGCCAATCACAAAAAAACAAATACTACATGATTCCACTTAAATGAGATACTTTTGAGTAGTCAAAATCATATAAATAGAACGTATGATGATGGTTGCCAGGAGCTGGGAGAAGGAGGCAATCAGTGTTTAATGGGAATAGGGTTTCAGTTTTACAAGATGAAAGTTATGGAGATGGATGGTGGTGAAGGTTGCATATTATGAAATGTATTTAATTCCACTAACTATATACTTAAAAATGGTTAAGATGGTAAATTTTGTTATATGAATTTTACCATAATTTTAAAAATTAAAAAAAAAAAAAACCCAGCTGGGCATGGTATCTCATCCTTGTAATCCCAGCACTCTGGGAGGCTGGCATCACCACCTCAGCTCCACCTCAGATCATGAGACATTAGATCCTCACGAGGAGCATGCAACCTAGATCCCTAGCATTAGCAGTTTACAGTAGGTTCATGCTTCTATGAGAATCTAATGTCGCTGCTGATCTGACAGGAGGTGGAGCTCAGGCTATACTGCGAGTGATGGGGAGCGGCTGTAAATACAGATGAAGCTTCACTCACTCGCCCACAGGTCACCTGCTGCTGTGTGGCCCAGTTCCTAACAGGCCACAGACTGGTACCAGTCCACAGCCCAGGGGTTAGAGACCTTAGGTATAGCCTACTACACACCTAGGCTATATGGTAAAGACTATTGTTCCTAGACTACAAAATGGTACAGTACGTTACTGTACTGAATACTGTAGGCAACTATAAGAGCGGTAAGTATTTGTGTATCTAAATATGTCTAAACATAGAAAAGGTACAGTAAAAATATGGTATTATAATCTTATGGGACCACTGTCATATATGTAATCAGTCATTTATCAAAACAGCATTAGGGTTCGAAACCACCCTGAGCAAGAGCGAGACCCCATTTCTACTAAAAATAGAAATAAACTAGTTGGCCAACTAAAAATATATAGAAAAAATTAGCCAGGCATGGTGGCACATGCCTGTAGTCCCAGCTACTCGGGAGGCTGAGGCAGAAGGATTGCTTGAGCCCAAAAGTTTGAGGTTGCTGTAAGCTAGGCTGACGTCATGGCACTCTATCCCGGGCAACAGAGTGAGACTCAAAAACAAAAAACAAACAAAAAAAAAAACAGCATTAGGTAGCACATGACTTTAACTACCATATTTAAGGATTAGAAGAGTCAATATTAAGATGTCAAATCTCTCCAAATTATCTATAGATTCAAAGTACTTCCAATCAAAATTTCAGAAAGCTTTTCTACAGAAATTAACAAACCAATTCTAAATTTATATGGAAATCTAAAGGATTAGAATAGCCAAGGCAGTCTTAAGAAAACAGAATAAAGTTGATAGGTTTATACTACGTGCTTTCAAGATGTACTATAAAGTTAAAATAATCAAGACTGTGGTATGAAGTAAAGACAAACAAAATGACCAATGAAACAAAATAGAATGGACAGAAATAGACCACACATATATAGTCAATTGATTTTCCTAAATGTCCACATAGGAGAAAAGCAAACCTTTATTTCTATTCACACCACATAAAAATTAAATCAAATTAAATCAATTTGGGTCATAGACCTAAATGTAAAAGCTAACTCTATAGAAGTAAACATAAAAGAATGCCTACACAAACTTTAGGTAGGCAGAGATTTCTTAGGACACAAAAGATAAGATACAAAAGTAAAGAAAAAAATCAGTAATTTGGATTTCATCAACAGTAAAAATTCTGATCATCAAAAGACATCAATAAGAAAGTGAAAAGAGGCCGGGTGTGGTGGCTCACGCCTGCAATCCTAGCACTCTGGAAGGCCGAGGCGGGAAGATCGCTCAAAGTCAGGAGTTCAAAACCAGCCCGAGTAAGAGCGAGAGCCTGTCTCTACTAAAAATAGAAAGAAATTAATTGGATAAATAAATATATATAGAAAAAAAATTAGCCGGGCATGGTGGCACATGCCTATAGTCCCAGCTACTCAGGAGGCTGAGGCAGGAGGATTGCTTGAGCCAAGGAGTTTGAGGTTGCTGTGAGCTAGGCTGATGCCACAGCACTCTAGCCCAGGCAACAGAGTGAGACTCTGTCTCAAAAAAAAAAGAAAGCGAAAAGACAAGCCACAGACTGGCTGAAAATATTCACAACACATATCTAACAAATGCTTTGCATCTAGAATATATAAAGAATTCCTATAATCAGAATAGGTGTGGTGGCTCAGGCCTAAAATCCCAGCAATTTGGGAGACCAAGATGGGCAAATGGCTTGAGCCTAGGAGTTTGAGGCTGCAGTGGGCTATGATTAAATCACTACACTGTACTCTAGGCTGGGTGACAGAGTGAGACCCCCATCTCAAAAAAAAAAAAATTCTTAATATAAAGACAAACAACCCTTAGGCCGGGCGCTGTGGCTCACGCCTGTAATCCTAGCTCTTGGGAGGCCGAGGCGGGCGGATTGCTCAAGGTCAGGAGTTCAAAACCAGCCTGAGCAAGAGCGAGACCCCGTCTCTACTATAAATAGAAAGAAATTAATTGGCCAACTGATATATATATAAAAAATTAGCCGGGCATGGTGGCGCATGCCTGTAGTCCCAGCTACTCGGGAGGCTGAGGCAGAAGGATCACTCAAGCCCAGGAGTTTGAGGTTGCTGTGAGCTAGGCTGACGCCACGGCACTCACTCTAGCCTGGACAACAAAGTGAGACTCTGTCTCAAAAAAAAAAAAGACAAACAACCCAATTAAATAATAGGCAAATACATTGAACAGATGCTTCATCAAGATATACAAATGGCCAAATAAATACATGAAAAGGTGGTCAACATCATACCACCAGGGAAATATAATTTAAAACCACAATGAGATACCACTATATACACAGCTACTTAGAATGGTTAAAATTAAAAAGACTGACAATTACCAAGTGTTGATGAAGATGTGAAGCAAATAAAACTCATATATTGTTTTTTGCTTTGTTTTTTTTTTTTTCCCTTCTTATTTGCTGGAACATATATTGTTGATTGAAGTGTAAAATGGTACAACTCCTTTGGAAAGCTGTTTGGTAGTTCCTAATAAAGTTAACCCTACAACCTAGAATACTTTCACAAAAAGACTTGCAAAACAATGTTCACAACAGCTTGGTTCATAATAGCCAAGAACTAGAAAGAACCCAAATAAATGTCAAGAGGAGAAGGGATAAATAGTAGTATACTCATTTAATGGACTACTTACATAGCAATAAAAAGGAACAAATCAGCTATACCTCTAATAATGTGAATAAATCTAAAAAATATTATGTTGAACAAAAGAAGCCAAACAAAACTGTATGATTCCATTCATATGAAGTTCATAAACAAGTAAAATTAATATATAGTGATAGAAACAGAACACCAATTGATTTTGTAGGTGGGAAACTAACTAGAAAGAAGCACAAAGGAACTTTCAGGAGTAATGAAACTCTTTTAGATTTGGATAATGGTAACCTGGGTGTGTGTTTAGTACCTGTGCATTTTACCGTGTATAAATTATTACCTAATAAAAGGCAGGAGAAGGCCATATATAGATCTACATTAACTTTTTGTTCTTTAGTGCAAAGGGAGGTTGAAAAATATTAATACATCTATTTGTAGACACCAGAAATAGGAAAAAGTTTGTTGCCCAATTCAAACGATATGGCAACATTACAAAGACTGAATTTTTTCCAAAAAACATCAATTGTAAGACAATCTACAGTAGATCTTTCTCAGCTTAAGGGCTATAAGCCACTGGGGAGACCATGATCTCATATCCATATGCTCTTTTTTTTTTTTTTTGAGACAGAGTCTCACTCTTGCCTAGGCTAGAGTGCTGTGGTGTCAGCCTAGCTTACAGCAACCTCAAACTCCTGGGCTCAGGCGCTCCTCCTGCTTCAGCCTCCCCAGTAGCTGGGACTACAGACATACACCACCATGTCCGGCTAATTTTTTCTATATATTTTTAGTTGGCCAATTAATTTCTTTCCATTTTTAGTAGAGACGAGGTCTCACTCTTGCTCAGGCTGGTTTTGAACTCCTGACCTCGAGCGATCCTCCTGCCTCGGCCTCCCAGAGTGCTAGGATTACAGGTGTGAGCCAACACGCCCATATGCTCTTGTTAGCTTCATAATCAAAGCAGACTAAAACTTCAAATATTATCACATGGTGGAGGGTCTGTGGAATTTTTGAAAGTTCCTTTGTGCTTCTTTCCAGTCAATCTCCTATGTGCATAGTCAACTGTTTCTCTGATTTTTTTTTCTTTTCTTTCTTTCTTTTCTTTTCTCTCTTTTCTTCCTCTCTCTCTCTTTCTTTCTTGTTGAGACAGGGTCTTGCTCTGTTGCCTGGGCTACACTACAGTGGCATCATCATAGCCCATTGCAAGCAAACTCCAGGGCTCAGGCAACCTTCATGCCTCAGGCTTCCAAGTAGTTGGGACTATAGGCGTGCACCACCATGCTCAGCTAATTTTTCTATTTTTTTTTTGTAGAGACGTGGTCTTGCTATGCTGCTCAGGCTGGTCTCAAACTCCTGGCCTCAAGTAATCCTTCCCTCTCAGCCTCTCAAAGTGCTAGGATTACAGGCATGAGCCATCGTACTTTGACTGTTCTTTTTTTTTTTTTATTACCTCATATTATGGGGGTACAAATATTGTTAGGGTTACATATCCTGCCCATGCCCCCCCTCTCCCATTGCCTGCTCTTCTGATTTCTATTACCATATGTTCATTTTGTATGTTCATCAACTTCATAAAATGGAATCATTTGAAGTACATTTGAAACATATCTTTTTTTATAAAGATATATTACTACTCAAAAATATTGGAAACTAGTGACTGTGACAAATGAATGGCTACATCTTCACTGGTAACCAAACCAAAGAGTAGTTGAAGAGTACAATGGCAACAAAGTATATGATGTAATATATTTAAAAAAGAGACAAAGTGAGGTGGCTCATGCCTGTAATACCAGCACTTTTGGAGGCAAAGGCAGGAGAATTGCCTAAGCCCAAGAATTTGAGCCTGCATTGAACTGTAATTGGGCCACTGCACTTCAGCCTGAGCAAGAGAGCAAGACTCAACCTCTAAAGTAAATAAATAAATAATTTCAAAAATTAAACTGTAATGCACTGGGAAAACATAAGATATTATCTTTAATAAATAGTAAGAGTCAAGAAATAGTTTTTCACCTTAAGTTTTGGATATATGTGGCGCAGAGAATCTGCAGTTCCCGTCTCAGCGTCATCAGGAAGACACACAATATCTGCCTTCATTTTCATCTTGAATTCTGCACATAGAGCCTTTTGGACATCCCTGGTTGTAACCACAATGACTTCTACAGCACAAAAGAAAAAGAGAAGGAAAAATGCAAAAGCTCATTAATTTAGAAACGGTTTCACTATTTAAATTAGATTTGGTCTATTTCTAAATATAGTAATAACTACTAATATTATTGAGCCTTTTCATTATTGAGATTAAAACAATCTCATTTTACAAATGAAGAACCTTGGACTAAAAGACATTAAGTGATTTTGTTCAGGATGACAGAATTTAAAAGCAACAGAACCAAGATAAAACTCAGGTCTGTATGATTAGTGCCCACACTTCAACTAGTATGTTATATGCCACTTCTTAATGTAAAAATTTCAAAAGAACATTCATTAAAACATACAAATGAGATCACATTTTAAATCTTTATTCAGTACAAAGATAGAGCTATCACCACTTCCTACCGGCAGCCATTAGTACTTCACCAAGGATCACAGTGAACCCTAATAAGAAGCAGTTTTCACGTAACAGATGTCTTCACCTTATCCATGTAGCTATCAACCACTGACAGAAAACTTAGGGTTTTGTCATGGCTCTGTTGAGATAATGTAATCCACTACAATGTAACATGTGTTGCTAACGTCTGAAGATCTGATTTTAGCATCTCTCCAATAATTTCCACTTGTTCCATGATAGTGCTCCAGGTCACAATTACCACTCCGTTTCATTGTAATCATTCTTTTCTCTTCTATTTTCTTTCCCTCTCTTTTATCATCCCCTTTCTCTCTCTCTCTGTCTCCTTCAAATCATTTAACTTTCTTTCCTTCCTTCTCTCTTCTTTTTTCCTCTTCCCACCCTGCTTTCTTTTATTAATAGTAACTAACTCACTCATTCACCCAAAAAATATATTTAAGCACTCTGGGAGGCCGAGGTGGGCAGATCATTTGAGCTCAGGAGTTCGACACCAGTATGAGCAAGAGCGAGATCCCGTCTCTTCCAAAAATAGAAAAAATTAGCCAGGCATGGTGGCACATGCCTGTCTCCCAACTACTCAGGAGGCTGAGGCAGGAGGATAGCTTGAGCCCAGGAGTTTGAGGTTGCTATGAGCTAGGCTGATGCCACGGCACTCTAGCCCAGGCAACAGAGTGAAACTTTATCTCAAAAAAAAAAAAAAATAGTGTTTGGGATTTTGAAGAGAAGGTGACATTTCCATAGACAGGTAAGAATATTTTAGGTAGAGTGGATAGAGTGAAGGGAGTAACAGCAAATATGGAACAATAAGTCCATATTGGATCAAGATTTCTGTGTGTGGGCAGGGCGCAGTGGCTCATGTCTGTAATCCTAGCACTCTGGGAGTCCAAGGCAGGAGGATTGCTTGAGGATGGGAGTTCAAGACCAGTCTGGGCAACATAGTGAGACCTCATTTCCACAAAAAATTTAAAAAGTAGCCAGTTGTGGTGGAGCACATCTGTGCTCCTAGCTACTTGGGAGGCTGACCACGTGTGCCCAGGAGTTCAAGGTTACAGTGAGCCATTATCAAGCCACTGCACTCCAGCCTAGGCAACAGAATGAATAAATAAATAAATGAACAAATAAACAAATCAACCAACCAACCAACCACAAAAGTCACTCCCACATGTGAACTAAAGATATAAGTAGCCTGGGCACGGTGGCTCACACCTGTAATCCTAGCATTTTTAGAGGCCTAGGCTGGTGGATCGTTTGAGCTCAGGAGTTCAAGACCAGCCTTAGCAAGAGCGAGATCCTATCTATACTAAAAATATAAAGAAAATTAACTGGACAACTAAAAAATATATAGAAAAAATTAGCTGGGCATGGTGGTGCATGCCTCTAGTCCCAGTTACCTGGGAGGCTAAGGCAGAAGGATTGCTTGAGCCCAGGAGTTTGAGGTTGCCATGAGTTAGGCTGACGCCATGGCATTTTAGCCCAGCAGGCAACAGAGTGAGACTCTGTCTCAAAAAAAAAAAAGATGTAAGTAAAAAGCAAAAAAAAAAAAGTTACATATGACAAATCTATAAAGCATTATTAAAGGAAAGTAGGATATTAAGGTGAGTTACAATCTCCTTCATCTGTGAAATAGAGCTCTAAAAAGAAAATTTCTAAAACATATTTCTGGAGGGCCTGGTGGTACATGCCTATAATCCTAGCGCTTTCGGAGGCCGAGGTGGGAGGACTGCTTGAGGCCAGGAGTTCAAAACCAGTCTGGGCAATAGCAAGACCCCTTCTCTACAAAAAATTTAAAACTCAGCTGGACAGAGTGGCATGTGCCTGTAATCCTAGTGAGGCTGGGGCAGGAGGATAACTTGAGCCCAGGAATTGGAGGTTGCAGTGATCTATGATGATGCCACTTCACTCCAGCCTAGGCAACAGAGCGAGAGAGATCCTTTCTCAAAAATAAATAAATAGGCCGGGCGCTGTGGCTCACGCCTGTAATCCTAGCTCTTGGGAGGCCGAGGCGGGCGGATTGCTCAAGGTCAGGAGTTCAAAACCAGCCTGAGCAAGAGCGAGACCCCGTCTCTACTATAAATAGAAAGAAATTAATTGGCCAACTGATATATATACATAAAAAATTAGCCGGGCATGGTGGCGCATGCCTGTAGTCCCAGCTACTCGGGAGGCTGAGGCAGGAGGATCGCTTGAGCCCAGGAGTTTGAGGTTGCTGTGAGCTAGGCTGACGCCACGGCACTCACTCTAGCCTGGACAACAAAGCGAGACTCTGTCTCAAAAAAAATAAATAAATAAAAATAAATAAATAAATAAATAAAACACATCTCTTAACACCAATGTCATATAGACGACTGCACAGAAATATTTATAGTGCTTGCTCAAGAAGGTAATTCTGACAGTGGAATGAACACACTGGATTACAAGACTGGGCCTCAGGATTTGGTACTCTGATTTGTTATATTTAACTATAGGTTACCTCAAATTCAATGTGACCAAAGCGGAACTCTGTATTTTCAAGCCTGTTCTTTGTCTCCTATTTATTCTTTTTCCTAGTTAATGACATCACCAACTACCTAGTCACCCAAGCAAAAAGTAGAGAGAATCACTAGACTTTTAAGGTTCTGGAAGTCAGGGCTTGAGCTGTTTTTTAAATTCTGTACACCCATGCTTAATATATTACCCAGTACATAACAGATTCTCAGCAAGTACTGACTATGAAGGACTTAATTTCCCAGTCTGTGCTTTCTGATATCCTTACAGGGTTTATATTGGATCATTGTGGAGATTAGCTCTATCACATCATTTAGTGCTATCCTCTCGACCTTTTCCCACAGCAATAGAATAATACTCCTATGTTCCTAATTTTAAAAGACCAGTCTTCAGCCAACTGTGAGTCCTAGTCTTTTCTCATTCATCCTCTCTTATCCTCATAATGCTGACCAATCATTGGGATCAAACAGCCTAAAAGTTTTATGAGTGCATCTCATTGTCATAGCTCACCTTCAAATCCAACACGCTCAAGCAGGTTCAATGGGTACCAAATTAAAGGTTTGTTCCCAACTGGAAGCAGAGGTTTGGGAATGCTGGAAGTCAGGTCTGTCATCCGAGATCCCCCACCAACTGCCATCACTACTGCTTGAAATTCCATTTTTACAAACTGCAAACACAGAAAAAGCTATTAACAGGAAAAAAAAGCAACAAAAATCGAAGCACACACAGCACTAACCCTATTTTTATTTAGGTTACTGATACCTACTAACGTCAAATGTATAACTTCCAACTCTAGTATCCAGAGTAAGAAAAGCTCTTAGTTTCAGATAAACATGATCTATAAAATACACTCAGCTCCCTCCTTGGTAAAAGTGGGGAGATAAGAATGAAAAAAAATCTGGCCCTTCAGTTGTTCACAATTAAGTGGAAAAGACAAATTGAGTAAATTACAATACATATCATTAGTGCCATGGCAAGAATATAGCCAAGATGTAATGGGCATACAATGAAGTGGACACCTAGTCTTCACAGAAAACACATGGAAGGTTTTACAGGAAGGTAATGCTTGAGCTGACTCTGAAGAAGCAAGAGTTTACCATTTGGGTTTCTGATATGTGATTTTTTTATTCTTTGAAAACACTAAAAGACTTCTGACTAGAATTAACAGCAGAAACACAAGCATGTTAGGCTTCTGAAAAGTATAAAATGACTTAAATTCCTCCAATAATGCAACCATCTGCTCCAGTCTTCTCATTACCCCCAATTATGAAAGATATCACTATAAACACAAATGTAGGCTTGTATCTGAACCTAGATTTACAGAACCCAATTATACAAATAAACCAAATTATTAATTCCTTTTTTCAAATTCAAGGTAATGAACAATCCTATTTGACATTAAAAAGAATCTCTTTACAGCAGCTACTATAGAACACAGCACAATAAAAGGTTATAAATCCTTATTTAAACTGAAAGTATTCTTCTTTGACTTACAACAAATGATGTTATTTTTAAAATAAAAGAGTAAAATGCAATGTTCAGAAAAAATAATCTATTCAATACCAAACAGTCAAATAATGTTGCAACTTTACCATAATTATAACCAGTCCTGGGCCCCACACATCAATATCTAAATTATAACACTTAGTGCCCAATATACCCAAGGCACAAAGTGAAGGCCCCTGCACAACATTCACAACTTAAAGATTTGGTGATTTTGATTTTGGCAAGCATTGCCTCAAATTGGAATTTAACTTCAATTTGGCTCTATATAACTCTCACCACATCTGATGTTGTTATGGAAAGAGCACTGGACCCTTAAGAGTTGACTTTTAAAAAAGAGTTGAAAGACTTGAGTTTGAGTTCTCTTCTGGTTCTGCCATTTATAGGTGGCATGACCAGGGGCCTGATATTAAAAAAATCTCAATGTCCTCGGTTTCTAGAAGGAAGTTTGGTGGTTAAGTTTACAAACCCTAGAGCCAGTCTGCCTGGGTTTGAATTCTAGCTGTGTGAACTAGGGCAAACTACATAACTACATAACTTTTCTGTGCCTCGGTTTTTTTTTTTCATTTTGTAAGATGGGGATAATCATAGTTTCTACTTCACAAAGTTGTAGTTAAGGTTAAACTAGTTATTCTATGTAAAGCCTGCAATATAATGTCCATCCCATGAGAGGCATTATATACAAGTATTTGATATCATTAGCAGAACTAGATCACAGAAAGCCTTCTTGCTGGGCACAGTGGCTCACACCTGTAATCCTAATACTCTGGGAGGCCGAGGCGGGTGGATCATTTGAGCTCAGGAGTTCAAGACAAGCCTGAGCAAGAGCAAGACTCCCACTCTACTAAAAATAGAAAGAAAATTAACTGGACAACTAAAGAATATGTAGAAAAAATTAGCTAGGCATGGCAGCTCATGCCTGTAGTCCCAGCTACTCGGGAGGCTGAGGCAGGAGGATTGCTTGAGCCCAGGAGTTTGAGGTTGCTGTGAGCTAGGCTGATGCCATGGCATTCTAGCCCAGTGGGCAACAGAGTGAGACTGTCTCAAAAAAAAAAAAAAAAAAAAAAAAAAAAAAAAGAAAAGAAAAGAAAACCTTCTGTGATAACTGAACCATGCTGTTTCATAATTCTGGTCTCTGTACCGCTACTCTTGCTTTTTAAGTTGCCTTTTCCTGGTGTCTAGAAATCCATCTATTACACTTTAAAGACTCAGCTCAAGAATCAAAGCCATTCCTAAGCCTTCCTACCCTCTAGAAGTTACTCCTTTTCCCTAGGTCCTTCCACTCTACTATGTACATATTATCTCAGTCTTTACAAGCTTCATTGCACTTTTGTGTTTAAATGTCTATTTAAGAGTGGCATTAATGTCTCTTAAATATGTATGTAAGATTCTATTTAAGAATGAGTTCCTTATGATCCACATTTGAAATTATAAAAAAAAAAAAGAATGAGTTCCTTACAACTATTATGTACCCATAATTAAAAAAAAAAAGAATGAGTTTCTTGAGAGACTGTGTTCATCACCACTGTGTCACCAGTAAGATGCCAGGCATTCAGTCAGTGTTTATGGAATGAGGATCTGTGAACCTCAAAACAACCCTGTGTAAGTGTCAAACTCAAAAACACGTGCACGAGGGCATCAGAACCCAGCTCACTAGGATCTGAGGTTCCTGCTCTCAAGGAAGCTCTGGGTGAAGAAAGGAGACTTAGGAAGCAAGAATAGTTATCACGAACATAACTAATCATGATAGTAGGCAGATAGTCAAATGTTCAATGTCACTGTCACGACTATGGGTGATGGGAATTAAGGCGCTAGCCTCCAAATCTTTAGAGGTGTTAATGGCATCTCAGACATGTCTCCATCATAGCATTCTTGCCTCTTCCATCAGTAAATAGCTTTAAAAAAAATAAAATCTGTATCACAATTGGTCTGTCATCCCATTATGTGCTGCCTGAGGACAGGGACCTTACTGTATAAAATACAAGGGACCTTGTACTTCATTGTCCTGCACCCAAACAACTAAAGGTGGGCTCAATAAGCGAATGAAGGGCTGGAGTGGAAAGAGTTTAGACAATGCTAAAAGCGTCTGGTCCTGGCGCTGGTGCTCACTTGTGACTTCGAACATAACCCACCCTCCCCGAATCTCAATTTCCCCATCTGTTGCACAAGGTGGTTGGCTCGGTTTCTCACCAACCTCCCTTCTAGTTTGGACACCTGGCTACACACTGCTGGGTCGAGCACGGACTACAGCTGGCGACTTTCAGGGCTCCGCACCCCCGCCTACCCACTCGAGTCTACCTTGGCCCGGCTCGGCAAGCCCGCCTCCCTCAGAAACTGGGGGCTCCGGGCACCCATCGGGCTGCTCACCCGGGTCAGCCAGCTCGTGCGTGGCCTGGCGGGTCAGAAGCCGCAGCTTTACCTCAGGTCCCAGCACGCTGAACCGCTCCCAGCGATCCCCACGCCGCTCTGACTGACAGCCCAACAGCGCAGGCGCGCGATGGCTGAGCAGCTCGATGGGACGCAAGGAACAGACCTACAGAGTAGGGACGAGCGCCGAGCGATAGATGACAGTGCGTGAGCGCGCGCTGCGAAAAGGAGGGGGCATAGGGCAGCTGAGGAGCGTTCCTGATTCTCGTGTGGCGTTCTAAGGTGTAGGACCTCGCCGTCTGGGTACCTTCGTCCATTCACACATTACCAACGCCTATTGAGTGTCCCTCCCAGTGCAGGATGCTAGGAACCCAGATGGAACAAGTCTGTTTCCTCAGGGAGTTCCCATTCTAGGACCTGGTATGACAACCGCTGTGAAAGAGAGCTCATTGGGAGCACAATTTTTGGCTAGTCAGTGAATAAAATCACAGAATGCCGTTGCAGGCCAGGGATTGCCAGGGCTTCCTATGTGAGAAACGTCTAAGATGGCAACTCAAGTCAGCTTCAGCCATCAAAACAGTAGGAGGGGCCAGGCGTGGTGGCTCACGCCTGTAATCCTAGCACTCTGGGAGGCCAAAGCGGGCGGATTGCTTGAGGTCAGGAGTTCAAAACCAGCGAGACCCGGTCTCTACTGTAAATAGAAAGAAGTTAATTGGCCAACTAATATATATAGAAAAAATTAGCCGGGCATGGTGGCGCATGCCTGTAGTCCCAGCTACTCGGGAGGCCGAGGCAGCAGGATTCCTTGAGCCCAGGAGTTTGAGGTTGCTGTGAGCTAGGCTGACGCCATGGCACTCACTCTAGCCTGGGCAACAAAGCAAGACTCTGTCTCAAGAAAAAAAAAAAAAAAAAAAAAACAGTAGGAGGCCAGTGCGGCTGAAGGGAAGTAGCCAGGGGAAGAGTGAATGGTGCCAGAAGAAGTCAGAGGGGCAATGGGAAAAGAGTGGAGAATTCAGAACTTATGGGGCATGTAGGCTGTTATGAGGACCTTCCGTTTTGCTGTGAGATAGAAGCTACCAGAGATTGTTGAGCAGAGGGACGTTATATGACAGGGTTTTAAAGGCTCACTCTGGTTGTTGTGTATAATAGAAGGCAGGGAGGGAAGCACTTAAGCACAACTCCATGAGAGATCCCAAACATGTGAATGTAGACAACTCTCACAATAGCGAGAGATGATAATAAAATAATTGTTTTAAGCACTAAGTTTTGGTGTAGTTTGTTAAGCTGCAGTTGATAACAGGAACAATGGCCATTCTCTCCTTCGCATGCATTCTGCAATTTCCTAATCTTTTGAAAGCTTCCTTTTTATTTCTATCCATCTCTTAAACCTTGAGTTGCTTTAGCTCTGCTAGTTAAGAGACAGAGTATGATTTCAGTCATAAAAATAAAGGAGTGTGACTTCACTCAATATTTATTGACTGATTGATTGTGATGGAGTCTTGCTATGTTGCCCAGGCTGAACTTGAATTCCTGGCTCAAGGGATCCTCCTGCTTCAGCCCACTGTGTACGCTTAAATATTGGGAAGTTGGCAAGCTTATGATTACAAATACTGGTTTTCTAAAATTCAAATTTTCTCTTGAAAGCTCAAATATTATCATTGGCAACAAATACTGTTAGTGGTTTTCCTTGAAGTAACTGGCTCACTTCATTTATTTTGATAAACTGTCAGCCATAGTTTGTCAGTATTTCAAGTAAATACAGTGTTCCATGAAAAAGTAGTAGTTCAACTTGCAACTCTATCATACAAGTGCTTTTCCTTGACAACTATTATACTTCTTTTTATTCACAGAAGTGTTACACGTGTATTTCTCATTTCATTACACAGAACATTAAGAAGATGAGTACTCAGGCCAAGATTTAATAAAATTAATATATTTTACTGCTTCATCAGAGACCTTAAGTGCCACTGACTTAGCTTATTATTCTTATTGTTTTTTGAGACAGGGTCTTGCTCTGTTGCTCAGGCTGGAGTGTGGTGGTATCATCAGAGCTCACCACAATCTCAAACTCCTGGGCCTCAAGTGATCCTTCTGCCTCAGCCTCCTGAATAGCTGGAACTACAGACTTGTGCCACCATGCCCAGCTAATTTTTCTATATGTCGTAGAGACAAGGTTTCACTATATTTTTCAAGCTGGTCTCAAACTTCTGAGCTCAAATGATCCCCCTGCCTTGGTTTCCCAAAGTGCTGAGGTTACAGATATGAGCCACCATGCCCAGCCTATTTTCATTTTTATTGCAAGTGTGTAGCAGAGAATATAATGACTATTACTACAGTTTAGTGCTATTGCTTTGATTCATGCTAAATAAAGCACCAGCAGTTTTACCCACCATTACTTTTGCACCATCAATGTATTATAAGTATGGTGGGAGGGGGTAGGAGAGGATGGGTATATACAACCACAATTGAGTAAGATGTGCAACATTTGGGGGACAGACATGCTTGAAGCTCTTACTCCAGGGGGGAGAGAGCAGGCATGGGCAATATATGTAACTTTAACACTTGTACCCCCATGATATGCTAAAATAAAAAAATGTATTATAAGTATCAATACGATGAAAAAGGCAAATAATGTTTTAGTATTATTATGAAAGTAGTTTTGACCTGAAAGGTCCCCTGAAAGGGTCTCTTGGGGATTCCCAGGGGTCCATAGAACACACTTTAAGGACTGCTTCTTTATGGGTTCTTCCTGCGTCCCACTGCTTCTAGTACTCACAGTATGGCACTCACCGTAAGGGGTTGTCATCCCTTTGTCCATGTTTCCTCTATCATACTAGGAGCCCTTTTGAGGATAAGAACTATATCTTATTTGCTTCTCTCTCCCCAGGACATAGTCTGGGACCTGAGATGTGCAAAGTGAATAATATTGAATTAATTAAAATTTTCTTATAAATTTTCCCTTCACCTCCCTTTTGGTGGTGGGAAAACTGGGCTGAGAGCCAGGTCACTGACAACATCTCTTGAACTTTCATCCTAAGTTAATCCATGTTATTATCCCTTATGCCTCACCTCATGCTTATTATTTGTTAACTACACAGGAAGTACTTCATAAATGCCTATTAAATACAAGTCATTTTTATAATGTTTGCTTCCTGTTCACAGTGGTGATTTCTCATCTCCTTCCCAAGGGATATTTGAGTGTGTGTGTGTGTGCGTGTGTGTGTGTGTGTGTGTGTGTTTGCATGTGGTGTGGGAATAGTTTAAGAAGGACAAGCTCTCTGAACTGTGGGAGACAAAAAAACCTTTCAAAAGTTGGGCCTTGGCTCACAAATACTCTTCCCACGGTCTGCTAGAGATCTCTCTGGGAATTTCCTGGACACATTACAATATTCATCTACTCCATTTGGCTGTAGACTTGTCAGTGGGGCAGGGAGTTATTGTTTTTAGAGTACTGAATGAAAGATAAAAATGAAAAAAGAAATTCCACTTTGGCAACCAATTGCAAGTCCTAAAATGTTTGCATTTTATTTTTATATGTAAGCCCAGCAATTGTCTAATAAATTCATGATAAGTTAGAGAGAAAATAATGCTACAGTGTTTATATAAAGAGCTTGGTAAGAATCTTCATTAATCAGGCCTTCAATATTTCTTTTCAAGTACACCGAGTTTTCATCATTGGTGATTTTAAAGGTCAGGATTTGGGCATTCATGTCCTGAACTGATGGGTCAGCTTAAGAAATAAGTGATTTAATTAATTTGTTGATTCTCCCCCCTTTATTGAAAATAACAACTTTTCAGATAGCTGATTTTCCCTTGTTTTTAAATTGGAAAGTATGGTCTTGGGATCACAGTTTCATTTATTCATTCAACAACTATTTATTGAGTGACTACTTGTGCCAAGTACAGCTTTAGGCTCTTGTGATACATAATGAACATAAAGATCAAGCTCTCATGGAGCTTACATTCTAGCAGGGAGAGACAGCATAAATTATAAACAGCAATTAATAAATGAGTAAACTGACAGTATATTAAAAGGTGATAAGTACTTTGGGAATAAGAAAAACTTGGGGAGGAAGGAGTGGCAGGGAGAGGGAGAACAGCTATAAGGTCTTAGAGTTTTATAGAGGCTGTTGAAATATGGGATTTGTGTTTCATTTACATCTTTCCATAACTTTCTATCTAATAAATTTAGAAGCAAATACAAAAGGAATAATTGAAATCAGTAAAAATTGTAGAGTAAGTTCCTCCAAAAATTCTCTCCTCCTTAAAAGCAATGAGACTTACTGTAAAAAATTATCAATATCAACTTTTTTGGCTGTGCATCATGAGCAGTGATCAATCATGTCACTTCTTTCAAAATCTGTTGGTGATTTGTCTCTGCACATCTTTTTTCAGACAGAGTCTTGCTCTGTTGCTCGGGCTAGAGTGAGTGCCGTGGCATCAGCCTAGCTCACAGCAACCTCAAACTCCTGGGCTCAAGCGATCCTCCTGCCTCAGCCTCCCGAGTAGCTGGGACCACAGGCATGTGCCACCATGCCCAGCTAATTTATATATATATATATATATATACATATATATATATAGTTAGTTAGTTAGTTATCCAGCTAATGTCTTTCTATTTTTTAGTAGAGATGGAGTCTCGCTCTCACTCAGGCTGGTCTCGAACTCCTGAGCTCCTGAACTCCGCCCGCCTTGGCCTGCCTTCCAGAGTGCTAGGATTACAGGTGTGAGCCACCGCACCAGGCCTCAGCACACCTCTTATTCAGTTTATACACAGACAACAAAGAGTATAGTTGTGCTGCTTCTTTATCTCTCAGTGATAAACCTACTTGACATTTTACAAAAATGGACAATTAAACAAGAGAATTGGCCAACAAAATGAAAGTGCAGCAAAGAAATGAAAAGTGATAATGCTGGAAGTGAAACTTAAGTTGAACATAAATGGAGTGATAGAAGAAATGGGAATGTTGACACTGATGTCACGAAACACTATAGATAATGCAACCAGAGGAATGTAGTGAAGGTGACTTTATCTACATTAATGAAGAAAGTGGTTCTGACGAAAAGGACAGGATGTCCCAGAGGAAGCAATGGCAGCAAAAACCTTCACATTAAAGGAATTCTCAGATATAGTTCATAAGATTGCAAATACAAAGAATAAAATATTGGAAGCTGATTCAGACTTAGAAAGCAGCATGACAATTCATCAAGGCATAGAGAAGATGCTACATATTATAAGTCATACAAGAAAAAAAGAGGCAAGCAAGCACTGTTAAAACTATTCCTGATAAGGTTATGTTTTGTTTTGTTTTTGTTTTCGAGACAGAGTCTCACTCTGTCACTCAGGCTAGAGTGCAGTGACATCATCATAGTTCACTGCAGCCTCAAACTCTTGGGCTCAAGCGATCCTCCTGCTTCAGCCTCCTAAGGAGCTGGGACTATAGGCGTGTACCACCATGCCCAGCTAATTTTTTCTATTTTTAGTTGCCCAGTTAATTTTTTTTCTATTTTTAGTAGAGACGGGGTCTTGCTCTTGCTCAGGCTAGTTATTATTTTAGTACTGTGCAAAGGTTGTTATAAAGCAATAAGGAAAATATAATTAAGCCAATAGAAAAATGGTTGAAAATACATGCAGAGTAGTTTATAAAGAAGAAAAACAATGGCTCAATAGCAAATAAAGTAATGCAAATTAAAATAACAATTTTATCATTTTCCAGCATATATTGTCAAAAAATATTTTTAAGTATTAATACTCAAGGGTGGTTGAGAGTTTAGGAAATAGATACTACAGGGAGTGAAAATTGATTCATCCTTCCTACGGGGCAGTATGACAGTTTGATGAAGTGATTTTAGGAAGTTATTCTAAGGAAATAATAAATTAGATAATGTGGCTAGGTGTGGTGGCTCATGCCTGTAATCCCAGCACTTTGGGAGCCAAGTAGGGAGGATCACTTGAGCCCAGGAATTTGAGACCAGCCTGGGCAACATAACAACAGCCTATCTCTACAAAAATATAGAAAGAATTGGTTGGGCATGGTGGCATATGCCTGTAGTCCTAGCTTTTTGGGAGGCTGATGCAGGAGGATCGCCTGAGCCTAGGATTTTGAGGCTGTAATGACCTATGATGGGGCCACTACACTCCAGCTTGGGCATCAAAGCAAGACCGTGTCTCTAAAAATAAAAATAAGAATAAAAAATAAAATAGGGAATGCAAAGATATATGCATGAGGATGTTTATTGCAACATTCGTAGTTTTCAGCATTGGAAATTTGTAAACAATCTTAATGTCCATCTGTAGAAGGTTTAAAATGAATATACTACCTCACAATGTAATATAATTGCAGCCAATAAAAATAATGGTTAAAATGAGTATGCCTCTTGTCCCAGTCACCATTATTTCCTGGAGGATTACTCCCTGCCTCCTGTCTCCTTCTCAACCTATTCTCTACATGGCTGCCAAAGCTAAATCTAATTATGTGACTCCGTTGCTTAATGCTCTCAGGGCTGCTCATTGCAAAATCCTAAAACTGGTCTGTAAGCCTGGAGTTTCATCTCTCTGCCCTTTACACCCTAGTAACATGGTACTCAACATGCTTCTCAGTTGGCTTTTGTGTCCAGTTATTCTCTGTAACAATCTAGCATCTCAGCCAGGTGTGGTGGCTCATGCCTATAATCCTAGCACTCTGGGAGGGCAAGGAAGGAGGATCACTTGAGGCCAGGAGTTTGAGACCACCTGAGCAAGATAAGACCCCTTCTCTACAAAAAATAGAAAAAATTAGCCAGAAGTAGTGGCATGCGCCGATAGTCCCAGCTACTTGGGAGGCTGAGGCAGGAGAATTACGAGAGCCCAGGAGTTTAAGGTTGCAGTGAGCAAGACTCTGTCCAAGAATAAAAAATAAAAAAGAATTTAGCATTTCATTGAGCCCCATTGGTTAGAATGATCCTGTTCTGTTCTCTAAAGATACCTGTATCTTCACTTCTTTGTAGTTCTTACACAATGTTATTAAAAATTATTTATGTAATTATTCATTTAATATGTCTCTCCCATTAGAGTTTAAATCCATCGAGGCAAAAAAATTATCACTGCTTTAGGCACTATTTTTTTTTTTTTTTTTTTGAGACAGGGTCTTGCTCTGTCTCCAGGGCTAGAGTACAGTGGCCTCATCATATCTCACTTCAACCTCAAACTCCTGGGCTCAAGCCTCAGACTCCTGCCTCAGCCTCCCAAGTAGCTGGTACTATAGGCATGCGCCACCATATCCTGCTAATTTTTCTAATTTTTGTTTTTAGAGACAGGGTCTTGCTATTGCCTGGGCTGGTCTTGAATTCCTAGGCTCAAGTGATCTTCTTGCCTTGGGTTACCAAAATGCTAGGACTACAGGTTTGAGCCACCATGCTAGCCTAGGCACAATTTTATTCATTCACATAGCATGGTGCCTGACATAGGTGCTTGATGGATGTTTGTTTACCGAATGAATAATTAAATGAAAAGTAGCCTGTAAAATATACAGTGTGAATAAAGAGGGACCAAGGACCCAGGAACAGAAACAAACTACTTCCTATAGGCTCCTATGGGCTGGGCCGTTCCCTGATACAGCAGAGGAGGGAAAGGCAGAGAGCTGGTGGGAGCTTGCTGGGAAGAACAGAGCTGGGTGGCAGTGGCGGCCTCTGGGGTTCCTGCCCCTTCTCCCTGGGCAGGAAGGGGCTCCCACTAGACGGGGGTGTCTCCTGTGGAACACCCAGGTGCAGAGACAGGGGAGATGTGAGCTGCTGGGAGGCTGAGCTGGGGTATTAGGCTCAGTGTTTGGGGGAGGTGGGCTTCAGGGTGTGCACAGTGCCTGGAAAGGGGCTCAATGCCACTGCCCAGAAAGTCTCACAGTCAGGCCAGTCAGGATGCACCCTAGAGACATTTAATTTATTTAAATAGAGTGAAGGCCTGGCGCAGTGGCTCACGCCTATAATCCTAGCACTCTGGGAGGCTGAGGTGGGAGGATTGCTTGAGGTCAGGAGTTCAAAACCAGCCTGAACAAGAGCGAGACCCCCATCTCTACTACAAATAGAAAGAAATTAATTGGCCAACTAATATATATAGAAAAAATTAGCTGGGCATGGTGGCACATGCCTGTAGTCCCAGCTACTCGGGAGGCTGAGGCAGCAGGATTGGTTGAGCCCAGGAGTCTGAGGTTGCTGTGAGCTAGGCTGACGCCACGGCACTCACTCTAGGCTGGGCAACAAAGCCAGACTCTGTCTCAAAATAAATAAATAAATAAATAACTACGCAAGTTCCCAGATTCCTGTAGTAGAGGTCCCCAACCTTTTTGGCACCAGGGACTGATTTCATGGAAGACAATTTTTGCACGGACAGTGGGTATGGCTGAGGGCGAGGCAGAGCTCAGGTGGTGATGCAAGCCATGGGCAGCGGCTGTAAATACAGATGAAGTTTCACTGGCTCCACTGCTGCTGTAGGGGAGGCAAAAGGAGACCCCCACGCCCTCTCTCATGTTTCATGGAAGACAACTTTTTCATGGGTGGTGGTAGAGCTCTGTGGCCAGTCCCTAGTAGGCTGGTCTGCAGCCCAGGGGTTGGGGACCACAGCCCTAGAGGACAACTCAGGGTGGGGATGAGTGGGAAGCTGAGCAAGCAGGACCCTGTACATGCCACTTCTCAGGACAATAGGCCACTGTACTGCCTCACACAGCACTATGACTCAGACAACAGAGACCCTGGGACTGGCTTGAGGTTGTGACAGCCCACTGCAGGGAAACTGTCTGCACATCTATCACCAGGTACTTGTTTTTAAAGACGGCACCTTAGCTTGTTGGCAACTAGAGGGGCAGTGGTGGCAGCCTTATGATGCTGCTGCCTCCACTTCTGTCAAAATCCTGCCCTGGCTAGTTTGGCAGCCGTCCCTAGGCTTTGTCTTCTATGTCAAATTCTTCTGCCCACTTGGTTCCAGAAGCAGACTCCTTTCCTCCAAATCACCACACCCATTCCAGAAAATTCCAGGCTAGCCTCCATTCCCCCTTTACTAGGCAGTGGGTCCCTCATTTCCATGCTCAGCTCCAGATTTAATGTTTGTCATTGAGAAGCCCCATTACTTCCACTTAACACAGATTTTCTTGGCTCCCAGCAGGGAACTAAAGTCCTGGAAGAGCCTTCCCTAATCCTTCCAGGGCAGGGTAATTTCTCTATGTGTTCCCTGTGCCTAGCACAGAGCCCAATAAACACATTCTGAAGGAATGAATTCATTCATTTATTCAACTTTCTCATGTGCAAGAACTGCTTTTGATGGAGTGCAATGGAGGCCCTCAAGGAAGGCAGTGCAGCCTGGGGCAGGGGCATACATAGCCCTAGGATCAGGTTTAAAGGCAAAGCTTTAGAGTTGGTACAGAGGAGCTATTGAAGATTTCAGAGAGAACATAACTGGCCTTAACCTGTGCAAAACCTCGGAGATGAACCAGCGCATGGGGAGCCAGGCTGGAGGTGACGCAGAAGTGAACACAGGGAGGAGGTGGGGATGAGGATTTAATGTTGAGCAGATGTATGTTCTGAGCCGGGGGAGGTGGTGCTACTTTGTCAGTTGAGACTGGGTTGGAAGAAGAAGAGGTCATACCTCAGGTATAGAGGGAGAGGAGGAAAGACCAGTATTTGAGGGAGGGGTGCTCAGCTATTATTTCTTTCTTGGGGCAGGTGACCAAGGAGGATGACCATCGCTCCCTGTCCATCCTGGCTCCTGCTTGGGGAGGGGCCTCCATTACCCTCCAGTGTTTTTAGTTTTGAGTCATGGCTGGAGCCCGAGAGACAGAAGGAGAAAACAGGTAGAGCCCAAAATGGAGGCAAAGTCCATGAGGTGGGGAGCTAGACGCCCCCTTCAAGTAGCTCAGGCCTGGCAGCTTGTGCTGGGCTTGTGGAAGATTCCCTCTCACAGAGGATACGTACCCGGGAAGCAAGCCTCAGCACGAGTAGGGCTTGTGGGTGTGCGGGGCTGAGCCACCAATGTGAACCCACCACGCCCCCTGCAAGTGCACACAGGAGCAGGGCTGGGTTTTGCTGAATAGGTCAGCTCACATCAGGAGCTCAGACCCGAACCCCGAACTGGTGCAGGGAAGGTGTCTTCGCCTAGGTGAGGCCAAGTGGGGCCCACGGCTGCCCCCTGGTGTCACCTCACTCCTCCCAGGGGCTCATGTCGGTGTCAATGGCTACACAGTTGTAGGCCGCATAGCGGAGCTTCTCCTCACACACCTTGGCGCTGTGGGGGGTGGAGACTTGGTCAGGCAGCTCCATCACTCCCAGAGGCGATGTGGCTCCGGTTTATGCACTTCAGTGCCTGAAGTCTTCCCAACCAAGGACTTCCCCTCACCCTCCTACCCCAAGCCCTAGGCCTGAGCCTAGGGAAAAACCCACCTGACATAGTGCGGCAGGAAGAGGGTGCTGGAGCAGGTGGAAGACTCAGGCAGTGCATCTGTGGTCTCATAGCTGGGGGCGTTGAGGGGCCACCGGTCAGGAAGATGTTTTGGGGCACATGTGTGCATATGTGGGGAGGAGGACAGAAGGCTGGCCACAGCACCTTTGGACCTCCCTTCCACACTCACCCCAGCTTGTCCGGGTAGATGTAGATTCTTGCTGGTAGGCGGCTTCGGCCCGTGACAAAGCGCAGGAAGCGGCTCCGGTCCTCTGGACAGAGAAGGTAATCAGTACCTGCACCGATGGCAGCAGGTTCCACAACTTCCACCCTGCCTCCATGTCCCACAAATGGAATCCAAATGCAGGTGTCACTCTGCCCTCCTCCACTGACCGTTGGTGAAGCTGTTCAGAGCCTCCCAGAAATACTGCACCCGCGTGTCAGATGGCTCGAAGTCCTCAAACCGGGCTGGTGGGGACAATGCCAGAATTAATTCTTAGGTCTCATTCTGCCCAGTCCTTATGCCCTGCCCCCCATGCTGTGCTGCCCTGCCCTGCCCCACGGTTGGGAACTCACTGAGCTTTCGCAGGGCGTCCACAGTGACCTCTGGGTCCCCACACACCTTCTTCTCCAATTCTTGCCATGTCAGCAAGTCCAGTACAGCCTGTGGCACCACCTTCAGCAGACCTGCCTGCATGGCTGCCACCTGGGGCAGGGGCAAAAGGCCTGGCTAAAGAGGGCATAACTCCCAGTTTACATCGGGGGCATCTCTGTACTCTACAATCAGCAGGAATGTGGGGCCAGAGTTCTCAGGATTGGGTACTGCTGGGCTACAGGCCAGGCTCTGGCTACTAGGGGTTGGGCCTCAGGAGGGTCCAAGCTTGCTGTTCTACTGGCCTCTGGGTAGTACCTGCTCTTTGCTCTCCTCTAGCCGGGCCTTCTGGACCAGCTGGATGAAACGAGAACGGTCCTCGTATCCCACAACAATGCCGGCACCCCCAGGGATCAGCTCCACCACCTGTTGGTCACTCAGTACGGTAGTGAATGTCAGCTCCTTCCCAAACTTGAACTCAAACGTCTCCTTGTCCATTCCTTCCATCACTTCTAAGAGCTTAACCTGGGGGTTGGAGAGAGGCAGGGATGTCAGCTTTCCATTGTAGAGATAGCCCCAATCTCTCCTGAGGATGCTCAGAGGGAAGCAGAAGACTGCCAGGCAAGGCTGTCCCCATGTAGGCAGCGGGGAATGAGGGTGTCAGTACCAGGGCTGTGAAGGCATCAAGACAATACCTAACCAGCCTTGGAGGCCAGGGAAAGTGTCCTCCAGAAAATGGCATCTCCGCTGAAACCCAAACAATGGCTGAGAGTTGGTTGGGACATAAGGGAGTCAGGAGAGATAACATCTTTGATAAAGCTGGAAAAAGCAAAAGGCCTGAAGAATGTGTTTGGCATGAGTCTGAATGTGAACCAAGTGGCTAGAGATACAGGGGTCATGTAAGGCCTTTGTAGATTCTGCTTTCTATCCTAAGCCTGGGGCAGAGCCATCAAAGAGTTTAAATGAGAAGAGTGAAATGAATTACTCTGGCTGTGTGGAGATCAGATGGGTAAGAATGGAGACAGGGACACCAGCTTTTGCAATAAGCAGTTAGGTCAGAAAGAAACAAAGGTGGCTTAAACCAGGAGGAGTAGGTTGTAAGATGACAGAAGTGGGACATTCCAGAGGGAGACTTGATAATGTGGGGGAGGAGGGGGAAGGAGGAATGAAAGATGACCCTGGGGGCTTTGGCATGGGGAGGACTGGGTTGTGGTGCCTCTGAGACAGACAGCCTTAGAGGGCAGTGGTCTGGGAAGGAGATGAAGAGTGTGCTGAACCTGAGATGCAATCTTGGCACAAATGTCCAGGATGCAGAGGCATATATGGCCCCAGGCTTAGGAGAGAGGCTGGAACTAGGTCAGGATTTTAGGGGTCACTAGAATAGAGACAGTAGCTGAAGCCATGGGAGTAGATGGGTTTGGAGAGGGAGTCTGTGTATGGTAAAAGAATAAGGTTCAGAACAGCCTTGGGGAGCTCCAACCTTCAGGGGCTAGGCAGAGGAAACATGGGTCAAGGCCCTACTCACCAGCACAGAGTCCACAGCTGGGAAGTCCTTGCTCCAGCTCACCTCCTCACCAGAAAGCTGCTTCCATACAAAACCAGGCAGAGCCAGGACCTATGTGACAAACACTCGCTACTATCTTCTTACCCTGAGCTGCCCAGGCTTGGCTGGGCCTTCCTTCTAGGAGCCAGGGCTGATCTGACAGAGGTACAGATTAAGCTACTCACCAGGAACTCCTTACCCCGAAGGGCAGCCCCCATCAGCTGTCCGATCCACTCATACTTGGCAAAGTCTCGGCATGAGGGGTTGGGCACATACATGTCCCGGGCCTCACCAGTGCCATTGCCCTGCCCCAGAGACAGAGCTGTCAGCATGGCATGGCATGCACCCTACTTTCCTGCCCCAAGCTCCCCAAAGACATCCCTGAACATCTTCCACTGGGGATTCTAAATGACCCCTCTATGTATGCTCTTCCTCTCTCTGCCCAGAGGTTGCCCTCAGCAACACAGTGCCCCCTCTGTTCCTCTAGTTTAGTTCAACGCCTGGGAGTTCTGCAGAGATTTTCAGGAATACCTGAAACAACTTGGGAGGTGAGGGCAGGAGATTACCTGGTTGGCTGTGCGCACAAAGAAGGGCAGAGGCACGGGGGTGTCCGCTGAACTAGGGCACAGCTCTTCTGACATATCTGCCAGGCTGTCCCGGAAACCACCCCCTGAAATGACAGATGCCCTCAGCTGGGTATTTAAGAGCCCAGCCCCCATAATGGCATAATAAACAGGTCCCCTATCTTCATTAGCTGGTGACCCCAGAACCCTCTGCCACTTTAATAGGGAAGCAAGCAGGACCCTGTCATCCTCCCTCAGGGCCTCACCTTGGTCAATGATGCCTTCTGCAATGAATTTACACTCCCACCACTGGTCATAGCGCATGGGCCACCTGTAGGTGTGGGTAGACCTGTCATCATGCTGGGCCAGGGCACAGGACAATTCACCAGCCCAGAGACTAGCCAGGAAAAGGGCTACAGAGCAGTAGCAGTGAGGGGTGCCAAGAGCCGTGTGTGGGTGTATGAGTGTACATGTGTGCCCCAGGCAGGTCCCTCGCTCTCATGACATACCTGTAGTCCAGGGGCTTTTCATATTTGTCAGAGGGCTTGAGGCCTTCATATACCTAGGGGTGGGGAAAAAGGGGAGGGATTTGTAGGGAAGTCTGTGTCTAGACCTGGCCTCACTCTTGCTGAAAGACTTTGTTCAGGCAAAATCCCTTTTGGCCCAGCTCCCGAGGTCCTTTACTGATCCTCCCTGTCTGATCTCAGGTGGTCCAGACCTGGGTGAAGACTGCATTTTTGCAGGCAGGGTCACGAGAGGGGCAGGCACGGTGTTCCATGGCAAGGCGGCGGTTGATGTACAGGCGAGGCATGAAGCTAGGCTTGCTGCTCTCTGAGTCACGCAGGCACTGAGCCACCAGGCCGGGCCGTTGGCGTGACAGCAGTAGAAACTGCTTCACTTGCTGGGAGGAGAGGTGGCCAAAGCAGGATGAGTGGGCAGTCACCCTTTGTCCAGACTGTAGAACCTCCCTCTATGCCTGGACCCAATTCCACCATTCCAGTCCAAGTCTAGTCCATTCCCATCCTTTCCTCTAGTCCCTTCCTTAGTCTAGCTACCAGGGGGTGCTTTCTAAAATGAGAAATCTAACATTGTCATTACCTTACTTAACTTTTACAATAGCTCCACTAACCTGAGACAAAGTCTCTGCTGCACAGCCTGGCCCACAGGGCCCTCTGCTATGGGGGTCGCAGGTGCATGTGTGTGCACGAGTGTAAGAAGTCAGGCGTCACTGAAACGCTTGCTCCTGGGTCTCAGTACCCCTGGCCACAGCAAAAACACCTTGAGGCGATCTTCTCTGAGTGAATTAACTCCACACCAGCTACTCGTCCCTTTGGGGACCACTAGATATCTGCTGCCCTTGACAGGGCTCCTGACACAGACCCACCAGCTGCAGGGACAGCCCGTGTCACACTCACACCTACCTGCATGCTTTCTCAAGTCATCTTGAGGTGCTGGTAATTGCCAGTCTGTACCTTTCATGCAACCTGCCAATCCATGCTGTCACTTCTACTCCCCTAGCCTTTTGGTATTCCACACGCTCACATAGGGAATGCCCACCAAACACTAAATTTTGACCATTTTCTCTGGTTTTCTTCCTGTATTCCCAGACCCAACAAAGGTCCTGCCTCAGAGTACATTTAGGAACTTGCTGCTGAAGAACGAACAACTACATGAGTAGGAAGGGGGAACCACTGCTAAGACCAGCACTGTCAACCAAGCTCACCTTAATCTCACTGAAGGTGCCTAGTGTGTGATCCCAGGCAGGTACCAGGTGATGCAGGACACTGTCTAGGATCTTGATGAACCTGGGTAGGTGGGAAAAGATAATTGCAGCTAAAGAGTGTGGCATGTATGTAAGACCCCCAACTCCTCCAAGACACAGGGACAGGAGAAGGTAGGGCCCAGGGGTGGATCTGACCCTTGAAGCAAAACAGCTTATACTATAAGACCTTGGGGACCTCCTCCATATAGACATGCAAGGCTCAGGATGGGGGGAAGGGAAGGGCCTGTAGGCCCAGGACCACGGACACCTCTGCAGGAGGACAGCTCGACGGTACAGTACTTCTGGGTCAGTGCCTTCCAGGCGTGGATATCGCACCAGACTGGTTGGCTGGAACAGGTCTGCATTCAAGCCTAGTTCCCGCTGTCTAGATGACTTGATTTTGACCCCTCGAAGACGAACATCAATCCCGTCATCTGGGGAAAGGGGTCAGAGTGAGGTCATTTACAGTATCTGTTGTCTCCCTGGCTCTCAGATCTGGGAATGCCTCCTTTCACGCTCAGCCTTTTGTTCTCCCTGGCCCCTGGTAACTTGGGACATTTGGGATCCCCTTCTATAAATCAGAATCCCCTGATTCTGATTTATATATCCTATGCTGTTTCCTCTGTCCACCACTATAATGTTGGGATGCCTGAGGGTCCCAACTCAGTTCCTCTTCCAGATGAGCCCAACCTACAATACGGCTTTAAGGTAGGCATATCTGGCACTTGCCACCTGGCTCAGGCCCCAAAACTTTAAATACTGGAGTTAGTTCACCATCACCCTTCACCCCAACTCCAAGCCCATCTCCTTCTCTCCACACTGTCTGCTGACCCCCATCTACACACTGGGCTCCCTTTCCCTCACTATAGCCTTAAGTCTTACCTCTGCACTCAACAATACGGATCTCGATGATGGGCAGGTGCACAGTCATGTCCTCCAGGACACAGACATCTCCAATCAGGGTCCTGAGGAGATGGCTGTGAGGCACTTCAGACAGCCCCTGCCTCAGGCCTTCAGAGAATGCTGGGGTCTCACCCAGACTTAGGCTTCCAAGCTGGGCCAGGCTTGGAACATGTCCTACCGCCCACCCCAGGCCAGCCTGCTTACTCGTCAATGTTCACATCACTCAGCTTCTTCAGGTTGTCCCCTTCACCCCCATAGACCACCACCCGCTTAGGCATAAAGTTGTCATCCGTAGTATCCACTGTGAGTAGCAGCTTCCTGAGGGGTCAGAGTATGAACGTGGGTCTTTGTGACATCCACAGGCATGTCCTACCCTGTCCTGCCCAGAGCCTACTCACTTGACAATGGTGCCCTTCTTCATGGTAAGCCGTACCCAGTGCTGGCACTGGGACCCATCACTTTCCCAGTAGGTGTCTGCATTGCTATCTGTCAGGCAGGATACATTGAACTCCTCCTGGGAAGGGCAGAGAGGTGGAGTCAGTGGTTATCCTCATTCCCTGCGCTGGACTCGTGCTCTGGGCCAGGGAGTACAAGAGTGAAAGCATAGTGGAATTAGGACAAAAGGGCAACTGGTACGGGGAGGGGATAGGGGTGGTATCTAGGGGTTCCTATAGATTTCCAAGATGGAGGGCTGGACTGAGTGTGGCCTGTGGGGATTCAGGTTTGGCCTTGGCCTAGAGTGGAGGTTTCTTTCTGGATCTGGCCTTGAAGGGTATGACTACATCTTGCCTGGGGTGGGAGGAGTCCCAGCACCCACCGTGTAGGAGGAAACGTCTATGCTCTCCACATACTGCTTCACGCTACCCAGGTTCTCATCCTCCTTGCCCAGGTGGTCATACAAGAAGTGGATCAGGTCCTCGTCGCACTCGTAGGTCCATGTCGGGGGCACATAGCTAAGCAACCCCAAGCCCCTAATTAGATTGGGCCCAAACTCAGAACTCCTTCCTCCCCAGCCCATCCAAGCTCACTCACAGTAGCCTTTGTACAGCTTCTGTGTATGCCTCCGCGGGCTGAGGTCTCGATCCCAGGCGATGCGAGTACGTCAGATCCACCACCTGTTCCCATCTGCGGGAACAGAGTAGGGGGTGGGACGAGGAGGCATCACCGGGCAGCAAGACATCACCCATAGGCCCTGGAGCCTCATCCAGAGCTCTAGCTCCAAGCCTCCATTAGCCCCACCCCAGCCCCTCCAGGTCCCGCCCCTTCCTGCTCTTAACCCAGCCTCCACTCGGATATCCCACCCCTCAGGCTGGGCCAGAAGTGTTTCCAACCCCTCCCGGCCCAGCCGTCTGACAGCAAGCTCCGCCCCTTCAAGCGCAGGACCTGAGCACCGGCCGGTAGTCCACGCCGAAGAGCTGCTGCTGCCGCTGCAGGTGGTCGGGAGTGTCGATGGGTACCAGGCGGGCCCCGCCCTCCGCTGGGCGGCACACCAGCAGCCAGCCTTCGTCCAGCCCGCAATCGCTCAGGTGCTCTGCTAGCTGCTCCTGCCGGGACACGCCAGACGGGACAGCCGTCAGGGAACTGCTCAGCGGCCCGCCCTACCCAGCCCAGGGCAAAGAGCACCGAACGCAATGCCAGCTCAATGTGGGGGAGGAAAAGGGGACGGCCAGGGGCTTCTCTGGCCCCGGGGTTCTTGTGGGGCCCCAGGCGGCCAGAGCGCACCTTAGTCAGCTTCACCCAGAGCCCGTGGCCGTTGCACAGCTCCTCGCCCGTGGTGCGCACGCAGGCGCCGCGCCGGAGCTCGATGCTGTCGCGGGCGGCGCGGAGGGGCCCGGAGCCTGTAGCCGGGGCTGGGCCTGCTGCGCCCACTCGCAGCCCCAGGCCCTCGGCTTCCCACACCGGCAGCAATACGCGTGACGGTCCCGCCGGGTCCTTGTAAAGCTTGTAGAGCACCTCTCGCGGCACGAAAGCCAGCGCTGCCGGCAGCGGCCGTCCGGCGCGGAGGCTCCGCGCTGCCTCTGCCAGGAAGCGCACGCGGCCCAGTAGCTGCCGCGGGGACTCTAGCGCCGCGCCCGGGCCCGGGCCCGCCATGACGAAGCGGCTAAGGGGAGCCCAGGGGCTATCCTGCCCCGGGAGCCGCGGCGGCAACTGCAGACTTGGCTTCCCACCACGCCCTGCCCCGCCTTCGGCCAGCCTTCGCCGTATGTTCTAGACTAAGCGCACATCCTGCTCCTGCTGTATTGCCCTGTGTATTCCGATACTCAACCGTATTACCTACCTGTCTGCCCACTCAGCCCAGCCAACCAAACCCAAGATCGGTGGTTTCTACCTGATCAATCTTCTTCTCTCCATCCCCTTGCTACTACCATTTTATCTCTACTGCTACTACTCTCGTTCAAGCCATCTTTCTGCCTGGCCTGGATCATCGCAACGGTCATTTTTCTGGTCCTCTGGCCTCCCTCCACCAGGGAATCGTTTAAAAACCTGCTGGACTCCTCATTCTAGGGGAGGTGTCACTAAAATGTTCGAGAGAATGACTTCTTCCCTTGCCACTGACAGGAGTCTTGACTCATCGAGGCTTAATCCTGGTTGTTACTCCTAATCCCAGGACACTGGTGGTCATTATCTACTTTAATGTGATTGCTGATTTCTGTTTCCCCATCAGTCTTGTAGCTCCTTAAAGGCAGGTGCTGTCTCGCGCAGCACTCTAACCTCCCCACCTACCTATATAGCGCCCAGCTTTTAGTAGGAAATATAAATATATGACGATTGGCTTTACCTGTACAGCCTGGTTCCATCATCCGCTGTACACCTGGCTGGATAAGACTATTAGAATCATGGAGAGTGAGACTTCTGCCAAGCTTCCAGGATACTCAGACCGTCAGACGAGAACAAATTCCTCATGTCACGGTAAGATGTAGTTACAGAGTTCTATCTTTTGAGCATTTGTTGTTGCGTCGCTACAGCGGACTTTACGGTGAATAAAAGCAGGGGTCCTACGGGCAGCAGCCCGGGCAGCCCCAGGGCTGTCACTGAGGTCCGATCATGTGACCTTCAACATGGCGACGTCGTTGGTTCCCCCCAGGAAGGGGTGGAGCCTGGACTGGGGCAGGCTCAGATTCAGATTAAAGTGGGGGTTGTGTTCGCAGTTATTGACAGTTTACCATGGAGGTGAACGGGTTTGGGTGAGTTCTCCGCTGTACGCGGTAGGGCTAGCGGGGTTTCTAATCTGAGTCTTTCAACGCAGGAATCTCTCCTTGTACTCTCCTTCCCTCACCATGGCGATCTCCCAACCTGAACTCCATTCACTGGGATCCCGAATCCTCCAACCATGGACTTTTGAGACCTTCATTCTGGGGATGCCTCAGGATTTTCAACTAGTATCTCTATTCTGGGACCATCATCTCTAATCCTTCTTTTACTAGCCCCCAGTCTGGGGATCTCTTAGCCCCTGAACCAGCCCACTAGCATCCCCGTTCCTCAGATTCGCTAGTCCGAAGACCCCCCCAAGAATCCTTACTGGACTTTCATCCCCTCCCTGCAAGTCCCTCCCTTTGAGCTTGCGAGAGTTGGGACTAAGTGTAGGGAAGAGGCCCCAGCGCGGGCCTTTCTAGGGTCTTGTGCACCACCAGATAGGCAGCGAGGAGGCGGAATGGGCGGGAAGCCACGGCTTGGAAGCTGGCCTGGAGGAGGCAGATAGCGGTGCAGGACTGAATCCGCCTTAAGAACCCGCGCATTCCCCAACCCCCAGCTTAGCATACTGACTACCTACTCCTTCCCCTACCTGATTACCAGACCTAAGAGTTTTCCGGAGTTGAAGAATGACACATTTCTGCGAGCAGCCTGGGGAGAGGAAACCGACTACACTCCCGTTTGGTGCATGCGTCAGGCTGGCCGCTACTTACCAGGTTAGAGTCAGGGCCTGGAAATCTAGATAAAACTCTGGAGAGTGAAAAGTTTTCAAGGGGCAGGGGAGGACTCTGGATGGCCTCAAGGCTGAGCCCTGTCTTCCCTCTCCTGTCTGCAGAGTTTAGGGAAACCCGGGCTGCCCAGGATTTTTTCAGCACCTGTCGCTCTCCTGAGGCCTGCTGTGAACTGACTCTGCAGGTGAGGGGTCCGCGAAAGAGGAGGGATTTATGCCCTCAGCTTGACACCTTGAGTAACCTGTCTCATATTCCCTCCAGCCACTGCGTCGCTTTCCTCTGGATGCTGCCATCATTTTCTCCGACATCCTTGTTGTACCCCAGGTACCCACTTAAACCTGATCCTGGAATGAGACACACTCAAGGACCCCTTGAGAATCCTTTTACTACTCCAGTTAAGGTTCAAAATAAGCACTTATCCTACTTGGATAGAGGGAAAAACTAAGGCTGAAAGAGATGAAGTTTGGCTGAGTTTATTCTCCTTTTTTCTTCTGGCATGGGCTGAACAGAACCTTTCCTCCCAGAGTGCCTTTTTGGGAACCCTGGTGTTTTTCTACCTCTCCAGGCACTGGGCATGGAGGTGACCATGGTACCTGGCAAAGGACCCAGCTTCCCAGAGCCATTAAGAGAAGAGCGGGACCTAGAGCGCCTCAGGGATCCAGCAGTGGTGGCCTCTGAGCTGGACTATGTGTTTCAGGCCATCACCCTCACCCGACAACGACTGGCTGGGCGTGTGCCACTGATTGGCTTTGCTGGTGCCCCGGTAATGTGGGACGGGGCAGAGACTGAGGCATGGGGAGACCTCTCTGGCAAGTCTGATGTAGACAAGGACAGTAAGTGTCAATTTGGCTTCTGTACCTGTGACATCCTCTTTGTGTCTTTCTTTAGTGGACCCTGATGACATACATGGTTGAGGGTGGCGGCTCAAACACCATGGCTCGGGCCAAGCGCTGGCTCTATCAGAGACCTCAGGCCAGTCACCAGCTGCTTCGCATCCTCACTGATGCTCTGGTTCCATATCTGGTAGGACAAGTGGCTGCTGGTGCCCAGGTGAGTCCTGTGAGACAGACTGTTTGGTCTATAAGGACCAGAAGCAATGGAGTCTCCTAAACCTGAGAGAGGAGAGGTCTTAATGGCAGGCATGAAAGAAGGTTGGCCTCCAGCGATCTGGCTAGAGCAGCCAAGCCCACTCTGACATTGGCAAGGGAGGCTTAATGCTCTGAGCATTCCATTACCAAAGCTAGTGCTGGGATCTGGAGGAAAAGGCAAAACTGTTGACTGAAACTGAGTTTATCAGGAAGTATCAGGGATTGAAGTCATTTGGAGAAAACTGAGGCAGATTCTGTATGTGGGGCCTGAAGTACTCCCTCTTTGTGTGTTATATATTTCTCTTTCTCACACCCTAACTGTAGGCATTGCAGCTCTTTGAGTCCCATGCAGGACATCTTGGCCCAGAGCTCTTCAGCAAGTTTGCACTGCCTTATATTCGTGATGTGGCCAAGCGAGTGAAGGCTGGGCTACAGAAGGCAGGCCTGGCATCAGTGCCCATGGTGAGCATTGGGATGGGTTAAGGTGGGCCTGTGGAGCTTTCAGGGTAAGTCCTGCATGGATTGGAGTGACCACTGGAGGGCAGCAGAAGTGCAGCCGAGAAAAATTAGTAGGCACAGCAAGGCCCTCCATAGCCTTGGAGATCTATCTGCTCTTTCTTCCAGATCATCTTTGCTAAGGATGGGCATTTTGCCCTGGAGGAGCTGGCTCAGGCTGGCTATGAGGTGGTTGGGCTTGACTGGACAGTGGCCCCAAAGAAAGCCCGGTGAGTGATGGAAGAATGGGCCCTGGAGGTTAAGGTGGAGAGGGGGGGCGGCTGCAATAGATATGTGCAGTCACCAGAACACAGCACTGGCTCTGCTTCCAGGGAGCGTGTGGGGAAGATGGTGACCTTGCAGGGCAACCTGGACCCCTGTGCCCTGTATGCATCTAAGGTAAAAACCAGGGCTCCTATGTGTGTCTAAGAGTTTCTCTGTGCCCTCCTATGGCTGTGGACATAGTTGTATTATGTGTGCATTTTTATGTCTGTCTTCCCCTCTGCCCTATATGCATGATGTAAGTCCTAGGAAGACAGAAATTTTTGTTTTCTTAGTGCCTGGCCCATACTAGGCACTGATAAATTTTGTTCAGTTAATGACTGATGAGTAACACTGAGTAGAAGCATGCCTGTGTATGTGTGTGTCACTATTATGTATGGGGAGGACAGAGGCTTGCTGGCCTCCCCATAGCCAGTGCCCTGTTGTTCCCCCAGGAGGAGATTGGGCAGCTGGTGCAGCAGATGTTGGATGACTTTGGGCCACAGTGCTACATTGCCAACCTAGGCCATGGACTTTATCCTGATATGGATCCGGAACACGTAGGGGCCTTTGTGGATGCTGTGCATAAACACTCACGTCTGCTTCACCAGAACTGAGCATATACCTTTACCTTCAAAAATCACTAACAAAGATGATTGATTGTTTCCTGAAGAATAAAAGTTCCAGAGTTGTAGTCTAGTATGTAGCTTTGTTCGTGAAAGATTTGTGCCCTTATCCTCAGTTCCTTCTTAGCCTTTGCTCCTTCCCTGGGGCCTCTCTGTACATCCTCTCCTCTCTACAAGTCATGGGGGTCAGGTATTAGTGAATTTATGTACTATAGCATTTAATGTCAGGGTTCTAACTACCATCTTCCTCTCAGATAACCAAGCCTCGGAGCTACGTTGGGTAGGGTAGAGCTTCCCAGCAGTTGGGGTTGTGACATGTGCAGAGAAAGGAGTGAAGTGCTCATAGCATACAAAGGCCAAATTGATAGGGCTTTGTGTCTGGGGAGTATATATCCAAGAAGGGCACTAAGTGGTTAGAACTCTTCAGAGAGGCATGGGGAGAAAGATGGAGTCTAGGTGAGCAGGGAGAAGCTGAGGAACCTTAAACTTTGACACCAAAAGATGAGGAGGACATGAAGGCTTACAGCTAGGTTGCTTAGGATTAGTGCCTTAGACTACTTCATCACCAAGGTGAGAAGGCCACTGAAATCAAAAGGCCCTGCGGCACTCAGGGTTACTTTACATTCTTTTCTGAGTACACCCTCTAATTTTCTCAGGATCTTGGTGTTTCTGCCCAACATGGTGGCACCTGCTTCCTAAAATAAGGGTCTGAGGTGTCTGTGATCTCTGGAGAGGGATCCGGCATGGCAGGAATTTCTTTATCTGTCATTTTGCATCTCTCTGGACCACTAGGAATCCACTGTGTTGTAGGCCCAACCAACAATCTGGCCCAGGCAGGGCAAATGCAGAAAGGAGAGAAGGGCCTTGTTTATTGAGAAAACACAATTTCTGCTTTTAGAAAAATGATCTTTTCTGTGATCCATGATTTATTCATAGAAAAGCACTGTGAGTTCACACACTTGCTAAAAAAAAAAAAAAGGGCAGTTGTGGTACAGAAATGGGAGTGGCTTCTCTTCTTTTTTACCAACCCATTGGGCTGAGATGTGGTAGGGGCCCTTGGCTGGACAGTAAGACTTCAGTAACCACAAACAGCAAATAACAACTTATTGGTCAGTTTGGAGTAAAAACGGTGACATTAAACAGTTTGTCAGAGAAAGGAAAATAAAGCAGACAGAGATGTCCTTAGTTCACGCTCTAGCTATCCACCCCTTGCCTATCAAACCCCACCCTCAACTCGGGAACTAAGACATGAAACAGTAAACACCACCAAGACACTGGTATCCAACTGACTCTTCTGAATGCTGTTGCTACCTCCTACACCAATTCCAGGCTAAGCCTATATAGGGATCAGTAAGGTAGCAGAAACCCTAGGGTTGACTACTAGGGCTAGAAATAAGGAAGGGAAAGGCCAAGTACCTACCAGCCCTAGCTTCCAAATCCGTGACCAATGAGACTGTGACAGAAGCAGGCAGAGAAAGCTTGAGGTAGAAAGGCAGGGGAAGAAAGCAAGTATGAGTGAGAAGTATGGAGCTGAAGCAGCCAGTCTCAGGGCAGAGGGAGACTGATGCTTAGAAGCTTGTTTGGTGAGAGAATGGTGAAAGAGGAGGCACAGACATGGGGAACACATGTTTAGCTGGTAAGAGACTAAGAAATGTGGAAGAGAGATCTGGCAAAAAGAGAAGGGACACATTCATGCAGATCCTCACACACGAATACACAGATACACCTCCATGTAAAAGTATACTCAGTCACACATATAAAGACATACAGACACATGGATAGCAGGCATACACACAAACATACACACATACTCATGGGTACTCAGATACACATACATACTAACACTCATAGACAAACATGAGTGCACTTACAGATATGCATTCTCACATGTACACAAATATGTATACTCTCACACAGAAGCCCACAGTACAGCACACACGTATTTATACATGTACACACAGAACTGACACAGATATGCATAAATATGTATATGTACATGCAGACAGGCATGCACAGATATATTTATGCACACAGACATGTGTACTTAGCCATACAGATATACACACACATACATAATTAGAGAGGAAACCAGACACTCTGTAACAAAGGTGACCAGAATAGATGAATATTATGAGTTCAGAGGCTTCTCAGACCTTCATCTTCTCCCTGCACTTGTTTCTCAGGTGCCAGCAGGCTCCTGAAGAGGCTGTGTGAGGCAGGAGCAGGAGCTTCAGTGTCCTCATAGTTTTGTGAGGCAAAAATCTAAGTCCAGTCCTGGCCTCTGCCCCTCACTCACCACTGGGCTACAGATGCCCTGTCTGCAAGCTGGGGTTTCTGCATAGACTAGACTTGGGATTTACTCTAGCTGGCCACTATTCTCCTTGCCACCCCCCACTCTTCCACTGCCAACAGCATACACTCTGCAAGGAAACCTGAGAAATGGTTGTGAGTCTCCTAAGAAAACCAGCATATCCTCCTACCCACAGCTACTTCAAGTGTCCATCAAATCAGAACCAGAATTATAAATAGTTACAACTTTACAATAATTGGCAACACATATACTATAGTATTTACAGTACCATAAATGCTTCTGTTTCTCTGGTTAAGCGATCCCTGAGACGGAACAGTGTTCTGTGTTTGCCAAGGGAGAGAGGGCCAATGCCCAGAACACGCATGATATAGGGGCGTGAGGTGGCATGTTGTGGGTATCTGATCAATCTGCAGGGCCCAGCCCCTCCAGGAACAGTCAGCTGTAGTGAGAAGCTTGCCAACATAGGCATATTGGCTAGAGTTGGACTCTCCTCATCCTTAGCCCTGTGGTCCTTTGGCCTCAGCCACAGGTGCTCAGAATCCTCTCAGGGTGGACAAATGTTTTAGTGTCCTTGGCCTGAACCGATGGTACCTGGGAGCCCAGGCTGCCCTGGTGGTGAGCTGTCTGCTTTCTCAGCCAAAGCGCTCTCGCACCAGCAGCATTAGTTTTTTCTTGCCTTTGTAGATCTGTTTGAGGTTGTCGATGAACTGGGCAAATTGCAGGTGGCCATCCTGGGGCAGTAGAAAGGTCTCCCGAGCCTTGCTCAGAAACTCAATGAACTCTCCATAGTGGCGGGGGCTAATGTGTGTCAGGCGTGAGTGTGTAGTATTGATATAGGCATTGATGGTGGCATCCAGCAGCTGGCGCAATGGAGCTTTGTCCGTGGACATGAGCTTTCCAGAGCTGCGGCGGCCTGGGATGCCAGCCAGGCCAGGTGCAGTCACTGTGCAGCGTCGCAGGATGTCTGAAAGCACTGTGGCACAGTGTACACTCTTCACCACCAGGGGTATGAGGGCTGCCAGCTCATTCTTGCCCAGAGAGTGGCTGAGGGCACATGCCCAGAGCACATCATTGATGGCTGGGTGAGTATCCTGGTTGTAGGCCAGGTTAAGATGGCTCATGGCCAGTGAGGCCAGCTTGAAGGCACGTAGCGGGTAGCCACGGAGCTCCATGTAGCGGGCGATGGTGAAGAGCTGTGAATGGGTCATGCCACCGGCAGCAGCATCAATGGCAATCTGGTAGGCTGCCTCAAAGGCAATGTGGTCCTTCTCACACAGTGTAAGGGCTGACAGGGCACAGCTCTGTGGATCCTTCATAGCACACTGCAGGGCCAGTGTGCGAGCACAGCTAGCTAGTTCCTCCCGCTGTGGATAGTCAAGGCTGAGGCGCAGGATAGTGGTGTGGGATACAGCTGTGGCAGCTACAATACTAGTAGCCTCGGTGGGGGTGAAGAGTGTGTACCAGCTCTGCAAGATGCTCACCAGGGCCCGCACACCTGTCAGGGAGAGCCTGAGCTCAGCAGTGGCCATCTGGGTCCTGATCCAGGTCTACCCAGATTACCATTTGGGGTTTGAACTTGGCCTGCAGAGATGAGTTCTCCCTCCTCCTCGGCAGCCTGGAGATGATCTGAGGCAAACCAGGGCAAAGGGAGCATCCCAGATGGCCAGACCCTGTTTGGGGTCTCTTCCCATCCCTTCCTTCCCAGGTCAGAGGATTGAAGGTCTCTGTGGGTGCTCTTAGCTCCTCAGAAGGATGGCAGCAGAGCACACAGATCTGCCTGGGGGTTCTAGCTGAAGTGGGGTCTCTTGGGGTAGTCTTGTGCTGGGGCATGGGCTCTAGAAAGTGTCCTGAGCCTTCGAGTTGCCTGGGGCTTCTTAGAAATACACATAGGAGGCCGGGCGCTGTGGCTCACGCCTGTAATCCTAGCTCTTGGGAGGCCGAGGCGGGCGGATTGCTCAAGGTCAGGAGTTCAAAATCAGCCTGAGCAAGAGTGAGACCCCGTCTCTACTATAAATAGAAAGAAATTAATTGGCCAACTGATATATATATAAAAAAAATTAGCCGGGCATGGTGGCACATGCCTGTAGTCCCAGCTACTCGGGAGGCTGAGGCAGGAGGATCGCTTGAGCCCAGGAGTTTGAGGTTGCTATGAGCTAGGCTGACGCCACGGCACTCACTCTAGCCTGGACAACAAAGCGAAACTCTGTCTCAAAAAAAAAAAAAAAAAATTAAAAAAAAAAATAAAAAAAAAAAAAGAAATACACATAGGGACTGGAACCAAACCACTGGGCCCACTACCTCCCAAGGGAGCACTTGAGTATTGGTGGCTGAAAATTCATTCTCTCAGACATGTCTGTGATCAGAGGGTCAAAGTGCTGCTGACATCAGGATATGGTTCAAGCAGTGAGGACAGAGCTTGGGCTGGCTGAAGAGGCCATCTTCTCCTACGAGCAGCCTCATCTTTTCTTAGGCCATCAGGAATTGGAATATGAGAGCTCTATGGATTCATTGTCCTGTCCTAAGAGTAGGACCTAGAAAGTCCTTTCCCCTGGGGATAGAGGGAGTTGGGAGACTTACCCACTTCTGTAGCACAGGTTACCAACCATCGTACCATCTCCCGGCGTCTCCAGTTAAGGGTTGATAAGGTCATCCGCATCACCTAGGCACAAAACAGGCCTTTCCAGTGGGCTAAGTCTGACTGCTGTGATCTTCCCTCCCCTTGCCATTCATTTATGCAACAAATATATATATATTT